GCACACCCTTAATGTAGGCAAAGAATTCAATTGGCATTTCAAGGCCAATATTTTGGGAAATACTCTATTCTTTTGCCGTATGAGATGGGGTCGATTTGACAAAAGTTTCGTTGTTTTTGACCAAGTTGGCTCACTCCCAACTTGTTTGCCTTCTGGAAATTGCTATTGGAAAGGGACAGAGGATGGTTTCTACTTTAGTGGTAGTGATGCAAATCATTATGTTAAGAAACATAGTTGGTAAGACCTACAATGTGAGCCATGCTCCTTGTAGGATTTCACCTATAAAATGAATAAGTGGATTAAATGGATATCATATGTTTCTGATAGACATATGACATAAGTTGGCATTACTTCCAATGTTGGGACGAATATTGACTAGATCAAGTTGTATGGAGTTAAGTTCCAAGCAAGGACCAAAGGTTTATTTGGAGCATAGCAGCAAATGGGAACGTTTTAGAAAATATTTCATGCACATTTTGGAAATAGAGAAAAATAAATAAAACTTTGATTCCTAAAAATTGGCTGATGATTAAAGTATCTCGAAACATAAATATTTCAATATTCAATCACCAAGTCATTTCAATTTCTAAGTAAACTGAAGGTTTCAACGAAAAAGAAACAAAATTTTGATCCTTGGCTCCAAAATCCCAAAGTCGTTAAAAATTGGCTTACTCCATAAAACTAAATGGCCATGACATGGAGAACAATACATTTGATTACACCAAGGATACAAAGATGCGGTATGAGAAATTAGCAAATGGCCAAAAAATAAATCGTTGCGACATGTATGTTTTTTATAAGGATGGAACAGATCCATGACATGTAATTTTAATTTTTAAAATGCGAGTAACTCGAAAAATAACAAAATGGCAAGGATGGAAATAGCGTAAGATTTCACATGGTTCAACCATTAATGATGAATAATTTTATGAAACGTGCCATTCAACAAGTAATCGTATAATTTTTTTTTATCAATTTTCGTTCAACACCCTCATAACACAATTAGTGTGGATCATAACATAATTTTTTTTTTTTTTGCTTACCATCATAAAATCTGGTGCTTGCTTTTCGAGACAACAATTTGTAGTTCGTTTTAAATTTGACAAAACGAAGTTTTGAAGTTCGATTGAATTTTGGTTTGGAAGCTTTACTTTGTTGGCATTGCCATATTAGCGCCACATTGTTTTGGTGCTCAATTTGCTCAACCTAACACCACCATTAAGTCATATTTTAACCCAGTTTTCTAGTAATTTAACTCATTTTTGTTCCGCCCATCATCAAACTCATCAAAGTAACCATTTTTAGCTATAAGAACAATCCACATCTGAGTGATTGAATCTCCCATTTTGTTATTAAATATAAAAAAAAAAAAAATTTGATTCAACGGTGAAGGAGGTTCGAGTCAGTTTACGTATATCTCGATTAATCTCCTCTCCGATTTGGTAAATACAGACCATCCATATTAAGACTAGGGTATTCATAATAGACAAATCCCTCGAGGCCTGATCCTAAGGGGTTCCCAAAACTCAAACTTAGGACTTCTAGGTCTATAACTCGTTCCTATTACAATTTCAACTACCCTCTTAGGGTTAAATATAAAACTTTTGAGTTTCTTGAGTAGTAAGTCAAATGTCCTATGTAGAGTTTTTTTGAAAATATAAGGGGAAGCATGATTTTTAAAAATCTTAACAAATTAAAGGGTATTTTTCAAAATGTGAGGTATGGTCCCTTGGCCATTGCGTAGTACCGTCCCTACCTCGGGCTACGATGGATTGAAACAAGGTGGATGAGGGTGATATGCCAAAGTTGAAAAGAACCACTTTATGGGAGAGTCTAGCAAGTTATATATGTTGATAATATTATGGGATGGAACTTCCCATTTACTTTGAACATTATGAAAAGTGATCAATAGATTTTTGTAGCGACAAATTTTGTGTATCGATGTACACAAATTTTTTTGTCAAATAACAGTCGTTAATTCTTTGAGTTTTGAGTACAAAGTGTAATGTAAGTTCCTTTTGCCGTGTTTCCACGTGTATAATCTTTTGATTCTCGGTTAATTTGATAAGATGAAGGTTGAGGACCTGAACAGGTTTGAAAATTGGAAATGGAACCCCATCTTTGACTCATAAACACATGTGGGAGAGGACAAAACTGTAGTGGGACCACCTCCTTCTGTAGCCGAAGTTGGAAGCAAGGAATGGGGAACAAGCTTGATTGGATATTTCATTGACAAGAAGCTTCCTTTTCCAGTTGTTAAGATGATAGCACAAAGGATGTGGAACTCTGCGGGACTCAATGAGGTACTTGCCATTGATCAAGGTTTTTTCTTTTTTAAATTTTCTGATGAATTATCAAGTTCAAGGGTATTAGAAAGTGGCCCATGGTTGTTTTCTGGCAGAACCATTGTTCTCAAGAAATGGCAGCCTAGAATGCAACTCACCAAAGAAGCACAAACCAAAAATTCCTGTTTGCATTAAACTATATAACATTCCTTTTGAGTATTGGAGTGAGGAAGGACTTAGTTACATCTCTAGTGTTGTAGGGAATCCCCTATATGCTGATGAACAAACAGAATCAAAGCAAAGAATAAATTTTGCTAAAATTTGTGTGGAAATTGATGCTGCACAAACCCCAATTGATTCATTTGAGCTCAAAATGCAAAGCTCCCATCCTGAAGGAGAGACTATTGTTGAAATTTTAGTTGAATACCAATGGAAACCTAAATCTTGTACGATTTGTAAGGTGTTTGGGCACACAGATATGTCTTGTCCCAAAACGATTAGCAAGAAGGAATGGATGAAGAAAGGACCACAAGATAAAGGTAAAGGAATTTAGACTATTGTTGATATTGTTGTTGAGACGAGAAGTGAAACTGCTCAGACCAGCAATAGTAATCGGACGGGGAGATACATATTAGCAAGGCACAAAAAGATAACACTATAACTGATGAAGTTGTCTCTAAAACCATCCAGGCCACACCTGCCACTAAAACTACTACTGGAATCAATACTAGCAATAAATTTGCTAGTCTAGTAATTGAACTAAAGGTCCTCTGCAGTCAACAGGGGAACAATCTGCCTCACCCAAGACTAGCTTACTACCCAGGAAAGTGAAAAACATAGATGGCATACCAATGAAAAATGGAAAGAAGAATCAGATGAAGCAAAAATCACCTAACAGAGGTAAAGTTGGGATCCATACTTCCCAGGGACACCACCCTCCTAAGCTTAAATGATTAAGTTAGCTTGTTAGAAAGTGAGGGGCTGGCTTGAACTCCCCCCCCCCCCCCCCCCCCACTCCCATGACAAAAAAAAAAAGCAATGGAGGTTCATAAGTAGATTTTTGAAGAACATCTGGACTTGGTTGGCATAATTGAAACCTAGGTAAGGGCTGTTAATAAGGGTAGGATCATGAGATCTATCTTTAGGGATTGAGAGTACTTTGATAATTATCTTAGTCATACACTGGGAAGGATATGGATTGGATGGAATCCGCAAGACTTGAAGATCACCAAACTAGCGTAGATGGAGCAAGATATTCACTGTGGAGTGTTATTAAATAAAACATACAATCACAGATTCATAAATTAAATAAACATGCAAATATATCAAATAAACACAATGGAACTTAGATCAAAAATAAGTTTAGAATAGCTTGGATTGAGGCGCGAGATGAACGCTGTCCTAAGAAGAGATGCGTCCCCTCCGCACAGAGTTTTTCGATATTCTTTTCCTAAGATACAACAATCCGAAAGAAGCTACGGTGTAGGCATGAACCTCTCTATAACGAACTGATCTCACCTAAGTTGCCCACAAAACACACCACTATTAAAGAATGAAGGAGAATATGTATATGAAAGTTATTTTTCTATATCAAAGGAAGATAGAACACATGTCTATTTGTATATTAATAGATAGCCATTATCCTTTTAAGGCTATATGAATATATAGGAAATGCTTGGCTTCAACGGCTAGTCTTCATGTAGTAACTCCAATGTATATATATATGTATTAATGATATATGTAGTTATTACATATAACTCCCCCTAAAGAATTTCAACAATCAAAAATTAAAATCATAGTCATAAAATAAATGTGGGGCTGAAATTATTAATATGAATACATGATAATAAAATTTAATTTTAAATCATATATACTAACATGGAGTTCACCACCTGGATAGTAAGCTTGATATTTTGGTAACCATTGTTTATGCAGCTAATGATGATAGGGATAGAAGAAGATTATGGAGGAACATTGGGTATCATGCCAGAATGAATGATTTGAAACCTTGGATAATTCTAAGGGATTTCAATGTAGTAAGATCCTTGGATGAAATTGCTGGGGGATTATACAAAAGGACAGTGGCCATGGAAGAATTTGAGGAGTGCATCCAAAATGTTGAACTTTATGATCTCAGATTCTCAAGAATCTTGCATACCTGGTGTAATAATAAGGGAACCCAAGGCTACATAGTCAAGAATTTAGACAGAGTGATGATGAATGAGACATGGAACCTACTTTTTCCACAAGCTTTAGCTGAGTTTCTTCCCTCAGGATGATCTGACCAAACCCAGCAATTGTTAGAATGGGGACAAAGACTTTGGAAAGGAGGAGTCCATTTAAATTCTTCAACTTCATAGCTAAAAGGGAGGATTTCTTACAATTAGTTGCTTAAGTATGGGAATCTAATATTAGATGTACCAAGCAATGTCCAGTTTGTCAGAAGCTTAGACTTTTTAAGGCTGAGTTAAAAAAACTGAATAGAACATAGATAGGAGATGTAACACTCAAAACTAATGAGGCTAGAGAAGCATTGAACAATTGTCAAAGATTGTTAAATGATAACCCCTTGGATCCAGGTCTGAGAGACCAAGAAAAGGAGTTGCACAAGAAATTTTCTAAGCACTCAAAATTGAAGAGGAATTTTTTAGGCAGAAATCAAGAATTCAGTGGCTCAAGTCTGGCGACAAAAATTCAACCCATTTTTTCAAGTCCATGACTAGTAATAGGAACTCATCGAAGATATCTAACATTGAAAGGCAGGATGGAACAGTTATCCAAGATATTGCTCAGATAAAAGAATATGTGGTACAATACTTCCAGGAGTTACTTGGTGGCAACAACACTCAAAATACTGGGTTGATCCATTCAGCTAGTAGCTATATCGAAAGCAGCATAACAATGGAGCAAGCCAATTGGATGTGTAGAGAGGTTATAAGTAAGGAAGTCAGAGAAGTTTGTCTCCTCGTTAAAGCTAATAAGGCCCCTGGGCCTGATGGATTCAATTGTTGTTTTTTCCAGAAGGCTTGGCTGTAATTGGCAATCCAAGAATTCTTCATGTCAGGTGAAATTCTGAGAGATTGAACTCTACGATCATTGCATTAGTGCCAAAGGTTCCTAATCCCACAAGATCATAGAAAAAATTATTGTCAATAGGTTGAAAAAAGTACTGCCTAATTTGATCAGTCCACTTCAAACTGCTTTTGTGGCAGGAAGAAAAGTTGTGGACAACATTCTCATGGTACAGAAGCTTATGAAAAGTTACCATAAGGAGGATGGAGCACCAAAATATTCTGTAAAGGTATATTTGATGAAGGCATATGATACGGTGAGTTGGAGATTTTTGTTGGTGACACTTAATTTAATTTTCCCCCAATGATGATTAGGTTGATTAAGGCTTGCATAACAACTCTAAGGTTTTCTGTAAGTGAGATGTTGAGACCCTGGTTTGATTTTGTGGTTACTAATTCTATGGTTTTGCTGGGAAATGGTCAGAACACTGATTTCTGTTGTGACTCATGGATGGAGAATGAACCTTTGCTGTATCTCTTACTTTCCCAAAGTTAATGAATTATGGTATGATAGTGAGTGGCACTTTGAAGGGAAGGAGGAATGGCTTACTCCTCAGTTGAAAGATGAAATTAAAAATTCTAGTGTGCTGGTACCAGGGAAGGATGATAAAAGAGTATGGAGGCATACAAATTTAGGGGTTTTCTCAATCAAATCTGCATGGAATCAAATTAGGAGATCCAGGGAGCATTGTGTTATTGCACAGAATATTTGGAATCAGAAAATTTCCCCTAGTGCTCAGTTGTGCACTTGGAAAATTTATAAGAAGGCAGTGATAACTGATGATAGAATTAAAAATGTTGGGGTATTTGTAGTTAGCAAATGCAGCTTATGTGGTTTGGATGAGGAATCTGATTCCCATATTTTTATTCTCTGTCCTTTTGCCCATGCTGTTTGGTGCAAAATTGCTGCTGTTATGGGTTTCAAAATTGCATTTGGTGAGCCTCCTATTTGTAGATTCTTGAGACTGTGTAGGTGTTTCAGAGGCCTTTCTCTCAGTCATGCTCTTATCAGAGGGGTTTCTATGGTAATCTTTTGGGCATTATGGAAAGAAAGATGTAGGAGGAGATTTGAGGGGTTGAGTTTGAATAGTCATGCTGTTTTCCTCCAGGTGGTCAATGCATTGAAATGGCAGGCTTTTACAATCAAGCCTAAGAAAGATAATGGTAGAATTGGAAAAGAAATGTTGAAGGACCTTGGAATTGCTTCCCCCTTTTTTGTCATCACCAAGGTAAAATGGATTAAATGGGAACCTCCAGCTGTGAACAGGGTGAAATTAAATGTTGATGGGGCCTCCAAAAGTAATGGTTTATCTGGTGGAGGGATGGTTTTAAGGGACTCAAAGGGGCATGTTTTGCTAGCAGGAGCTGCTGCTTATGGAATTGGTTCAAACATGAAAGCAGAATGTCTGGCATTGCTGGATGGTTTGAAAATGATAACACAATATGGTATGGCTTCTTATCATCTGGTTTTGGAATCTGATTCTCAAGTTTTGGTTAACATGGTGTTGGGTCTTGTTGATGTTCCATGGAGCTTATCTAATTATATGGAACAAATATTTGTTATACTTGGAAAAGTGCAATTTCAGATTAGGCCTGTATATAGGGAGGCCAACAGAGTTGCTGATTTCTTGACCTCTTATGCAGTGCAGACTGGTAGGTATTCTGTTTTTTATGAAAATGGTATGCTGCCTACCACTGGTAGACTACTTGTACATCAGGATCAAGGCATGATGTCTTCTGCTAGATTGAGGAAGGTGGTTGTAAGTGAACTAAGGCATGGGATTGGATAATGTTGTAGTTGTTGTGGATGTGCACTTGCTGCTTGGTGTTCTTGGCAATGTTGAATGTCTCTTCTTGTGCTGTGTTCCTGTGGTGCTGGTGCTAGGGCAGGGAATGGCCATCTGGATTACGAAAGGATCTCATGGTTCTAATTTCAGGAATCTTTTCCTGTTGCAGGATTAAATCCAACTCTTGTTGGCCTTTTCTTTTTCATCAGGCTTCATCTTGCAAGTGTGGTGCTGGACTGTTGCTGCCGCACTTTCTGCTTCAGTTGCTGCCCAGCTCAGCTGCGGGGTTCCCATTGGTCTCACTTGTTTCTGCTGGATTTCTAGGCATCAACTGGTTTTTTATTGCAGCTGTGGGGGATCTCCTCCTATTTGTTTGCTGGTTTGGTCAAGCAGCACTGTTCATGAGACTGTTCACGTGAACAGTTAGGCTGCTGCTTCGGATGGAATCTCTCAGCTGTTCTTTGTGGGTTTTCAGCTGGACTCTCAGCTGGAGGTCATTTATGCCTTCAACTGGTACATGTTCTGCTGTCATTTTGGGGCCGTTACTGATGCTCGTTGCTGCTGAGGGTTTTCAGCTAGTATTTTGCGCATCTCAGCTGGTTGCACCTGGGATTCATGGCTACATTTATGCCTCTCTTCTGTTTCTTGTCTGCTGGACTTGGGGCATTCATTATTGCGGCTGCTACAGCTGACTTTCCAGCTGGCCTTCTTCCTGCTGGATTTTTTGCTGGCTTTCAGCTGGTCTTATCGCTTTTTACGCCTTTCAGCTGGTCCAGCTTGGGGGTCTTGTCAATCAAGGTTTTATTATGCTGCTGAGGCTTTGATGGGCTGTTTTTTCTTATGGCCCTTTTTCTGTTCGCTGCTGGGGCTTCTGGTTCTTGCTTGACGCTGCACTGGTTTTATGGTGCTCTTTGGTCTGCTCAGCTGGTTTTCAGCTGGACTTCCAGCTGGTTTTATTGTTTCTCCAGCTGGACTTTTAGCTGATTTTTCAGCTGATTTTCATGCTTTTGCGCCATTCAGCAGTTCCTTTGGGCCTTGGGCTTGTGTAGAAGATTTTCTTTTGAATGTTTAAAGCCAACTACAGCCTTCCCTTGGCTATTAAAGCTTTTGCTTCTTGTAATTTTGGTTTTTATCAATGGTATTTTGTCTTTTATCAAAAAAAAAAAAAAAAAAAAAGGTTTTCTGTAAATGTGAATGGGGAGTTGGTTGGTTATTTTCCTAGTTCAAGAGGATTGAGACAAGTGTTGGTTTTTTTTTTTTTGGAGTTTAGTTTCCATATGTGATCCGGATGATGACCTGACCCGAAATAATGTTGTGTGATTTTTTAATGGGAAATTTTCTGAGGCTTAGTCCATGGAGCGAAGGCTTTTGGACCCATTATATAGCCCAGTGCGTAGGACATATAAAACCCGTTATTTTGGTGATTAGAGTTAAGATAGTGGATTGTACATTCGCTTTCTGTATTCAACTTTCTCAATAGTGAAATTCCTACAACTTTGTGGACGTAGACAAATTACCGAACTATGTAAAATCTGTGTCTTGTTCTTTCTTGTTTTCTTATTACTTTATATTCTTGATTTGTTATTCGATAGTGTGTGTTTGTTAGTGGATTTAAATCGTATTAAATTCCAACAACAAGGGGATCCCACGTCCCCATATCTCTTTGTAATCTGCATGGAGGTTCTCAATAGGACCTTGGAGAAGGAAATACACATGAATCAGGGGTTTAAATTCCAGTAGAAATGCAGCAAGCAAAGAATTTTTCAGTTATGTTTTGCAGATGATTTTATAATGTTGTCCCATGGTGACTTAACTTCTGCTAAAGTGCTGAAAACTATCATAGATACATTCTAGTCCTTCTCAGGCCTAAAAGCTAATCATGAGAAAAGTAATATCTTCCTTTCTGATGTTGTAGAGAATTAGAAGCAACAGATAATGGACTACTTTGGCTATCCACATGGTAGTATACCCATAAGATATTTGGGCATTCCAATAATCACAACAAAACTGAAAATCATTGATTGTGCAGCTTTAGTGGAAAAGGTGGTGATGATACCTCAAATAAGCCATAAGAGCAAGCTCAGGAAACAAGGTCAGGTCAGGAGGTTTGATAGAATACTAAGAGTTCAGAAGTCCAGGGCCAGAGCTCCCCCTGGGGAGATGATAGCGGGACAAACCAGTGGACAGCTGGATAACTGCAAAAACTGGGTTCAAGGCATGAAACTCTCAACCAACCAAAATTCTCTCCTAAAATCAAGGAGAATCCCACTAATGGCTGGCAGAGATCTCGGCTGAGATCCGATAGAATGGGGAATAGTTCTATAAATACTATGTAACGCCTCCATAGAGAGGGGCGACAAAAAAAACCCTAATTTGGAGATATACCGAATTGTAATATATTAGAGTGGTGAATAGAAGAGAGGGAGCAAGAGCCTCCATTAAAGAAGTGGACTAGCCGAGCTCCTGAGTCAATAAACTACTATATTTTCACTGTGTACACCTCTCAAATCCCCTCAGCATTACTTTCAGTATCACACATGAGTCTTGTAGCTTTGATCCATGATCATCACAAGTCACCTGCACTTTTCGCTCACCCATGTTGATTCACACCATCAGGTGGATTCAAGGATAAAGTCACGGACCAATAGATGTCTCTCATTTGCTAGAAGATTTCAGGTCATTCAATCAGTTCTTTGCAGTATCCATGTGTACTTGGGCAGCCATCTTATCCTACCAAAAAAGGTCCTAAATATCATTGAACAAAAGCTTATATCATTCCTTTGGACTGGAACAACCCTCAAGAACGCTAGAGCCAAAGTAGCATGGATGGATATTTGCTCACCTAAGAAGGAAGGGGACTTAGGAGTCAAAGATTTAAAAGGTTGGAACAAGGCTCTCTTGCTTAGACACCTGTGGTTTCTAATCACTGATGAGAACAACATTCGGTCTAGGTGGATCAAAGATTACCATCTAAAAGGAAGAGCATATGGGCAATTAAAATACCTCAGATTTGCTCATGGAATTGGAGGAAGTTATTAAAGCTAAGAGATGTAGCTAGACCTTTGTTTCTTCATATAATCGGTGATGGCAGAGAGACCACTTTATGGTTTGATAACTGGCACCCTACAGACCCTTCAAGTCTCAGTTGCTCTCTTAGAGTAATTTATCACTTTAGTTTGACTAGTGATGCTAAAGTCTCTGCAATAATACAAGGAAATAAATGGAGGTGGCCTTATTCAAATGCAATAAATAACAGAGAATTAATGGAGATTGAAGCTTCAATGCCCCAATTCTCTCCTAGATCAGAGGTGAAGGACAAAGTAAAATGGCTACCAAATTGCAGTGGGGTATATTCTACTTCATCTGCTACGGAGATTCTAAGGCCTAAGTGGCCTGAGGTTCCTTGGTACAACCTCTCATGGTTCAGTCAATGTGTATTATGCAGGTTAGCAATGGAGTCTCACTCCCATCTATTCTTTACATGCTCACTTTCAGAGAGGGTCTAGAGTTATGTTCTTGGCAAGTGCAACCTCCCTTGGCAACAGGTGCCATGGAATGGATTCATCCTGCATGCATCTACTGATTGGAAGGGCAGAAGCCTATCAAAAGTGATCAAGAAATTGTGTCTAGCTGCTGCAGTTTATACTTTATGTAGAGAAATAAATCAAAGAATTTTCAGCAATGAGTATAGAGATCCCATTGCAATTCAAGCAATGATTATCAACATGGTACGAAATAGACTAATGTCATTGAAGCTTAAAAACAACGTAACCAATAGATAGATTCCTCAGGCATGGAAATTGCCCAACTCTTGTTTTTGTATATGATATAGATCATTTTCTGTAATTATAGGATAGGATGAAATCTATGGGAGGTACTTTTCCAGCACCTGCCCAGTTTTCTAATTGCTTTACATGTTTTCTTGTTCTGCAAATGAAGCAGACAAGATTGTACTCCAACCTCTTGACCATTTTTTGGAAGATTTATAAAATTGGTTTAACTAACCAAAAAAAAAAACTTTTGTTAGAGAGTTGGAAGAATAATTTGGATTGTACCTTTGTATATGTTTAATCGAAAACAAGTTGATTTTTAAAAATAATTTTGATACGTTCCTACCCCAAGCAGTCTTTAGCTTTTGTGATGCTCTTTACTAGATTTAAGAAAAAACCATTTCTGTCTTGTCTTATCAACTTTTTTACCAGAAGCGATTGAAGTATATGATTAAGATTCCGGTATTGACTTGGCTTTTGAATCTTTCCCTCGAAGTCGCTGAAAGTTTCAATGATCTCTTATGATATAACCAAACCAAGTTTCAAATTCAACTAAGAAATTAGTGGATTTAGATAATTTGACATATAGATCATATATATATCTCTGGCAGGCATTCAATTTTTTGGCATTCAGTTTACTAATTTAAGTAATTAAAAATTTACTAAGAACTTAAGAACAATTTCGTAACCAATGCTTCGATGAGGAAGGCTAAAAGTGCATACTTGTCTTAGACTACCAAGTTTTTGTAAAGGAAAATAGACTTATTGGTTGTTTTACATTAATAAAATAAGTTATAATTTGGATTACCCATATTCTCCTACATTGATTAGCATACCATACTTATGTAATCCAAGTAAAGAAGATATAATTCCTACCATAGATTGAGCTTATTCAATAAACCATTGAAGCAAGTATCAAGTCTAATGAATAGCCTACCATATAAACCCTTCTCTTTGGCCTATATATATAAGTCATATTGAAGAAAATAAACGGGAACATCATTTACATTAGACATGATGGGTGTGATTACATCCGGTCGCTCGCTTCTCTTTATTGCCCTTGCATTTTACATGATATGCAAACTAACATTGGCACGGCCAAATTTAGTTGGTACTAATAAAATAGGTTATACGGTTCATGTCATCAATGGCTTTCAAAGCAACACAAACCCATTGATCAATTCGTTGCTAGTCAAAAAATGACGATCTTGGTATTATTTCAAATGTTGTGAAGGATATTGAATGGATCAATTTTCATGGGGTTAAGTTCCAAGCAAGGACCAAAGGTTTATTTCGGTGCATAGCAACAAATGGGAATGTTTTAGAAAATATTTCAAGAACATTTTGGAAATAGGAAAAAAATTTAAAACTTTGATTCCCAAAAATTGGCCGACACATTGGTTAAAAAATTTCGAAATATTGAAATTTCGATATTCAATCACCGAGTCATTACAATTTCTAAGGAAACCAAAGGTTTCGGTAGAGAAGAAATGAAAACCTAAGGGGAAGCATGAGTTTTAAAAATACTAAGCGATTACAAGGTATTTTTCAAAATGTGAAGTATGGCCCCTTGGCCACTGAGTAGTAACATTCCTACATTAAGCTATGACGGATTGAAGCGAGGTGGATGAGGGTGATATGCCAAAGTTGAAAAGAACCACTTTATGGGGGAGTATGGCAAGTTATATATGTTGATAATAATCATTAATTCTTTGAGTTTTGACAATAATGTGTAATGTCAATTTTTTTTGGCATGCTTCCATGTGTACAATCTTCTGATTCTCTGTTGATTTGATTAGACGAAGGTTGAGGTGATGTATTTTTTGATTTTTGATTTGGCAATGACGTTGTTGTATCTTCACATCTCCCTTTGTGATGGCATGACTTTAAATTATTTGAACAATCTATTGAAAAAGGACTTAAAGGTATGTTACTTTGGCCGAAGTTGGACTTAGGTAGAGCTCTGTCGGTCTTGCCTTCTTTGTTCATTCCTTTTTTTTGCCTCCCCTGACTTGGTTTCGGAAAAACTTTTGTTAGAGAGTTGGGAGAATCATTTAGATTATAGCATAGTATCATGTTTAAACGAAAACAAGTTGATTTTTAGAAAGATAGAAATAATTTTTCAAGTTCAACTGAAAAATTAATGGATTTTGATAATTTGACATATAAATCATATGTATCTCTGACAAACATCGTTTTTTTACTTGTAAGTACAGTCATTCAATTACATTCTGAAAAAAAGTACAGTCATTTAATTTAAAGTAATTAAAAATTTAATAAGATCATAAGAACGACATCGTAA